TCCAGCTAGCTAACGGAACGTCGGTGGTTCTACTCAGGTGCCCGTTCGTGCCTGAAAAATGCACGGAGGGGCACCTGAGGTCTTCCTCCACCAGTAAAGCTGGAACGTCGCCAAATGACCTATACTGTATCGGTGGGACGTAAAACCCAAATCAAACAAACAAACAAACAAACATGTATAAATGTAACAAGTTCCAAGGTTTCAGTTAATGTCTTCATAAATGATACAGAGTAATTACTTGACTAATACTGTTTCAAACGGCCTCATTGTAACATATAAACACATTGGGAGAAGGACATAAAAAGCCGTCATTTACTTTCAGGCAATTAATTAGACAGGTGTAACAGTTGGCATTTATCAATTAACAGTAAGCATTAAACAGTAAACAGTCGCTGTAAGCATTGAGCAGTTGAAAGTAAGCAGTTGACAGTAGGCAGTTGACAGTAAGCAGTTGACAGTAGGCAGTTGACAGTAAACAGTAGGCTGTCGTTTATGGAATTCCGTATGACTACCCATTGTGTATAGATACAAAATTGATTATATGGTTAATGTGATTTAAAATTGTTCAAATGTTTGATATGATCAGAAACCATTAAAAGGTGTAAGATTAAGGATACAGTGCACTCTTCTAAAAATCAAAGTATTTTGGTATTTTCTGATCTTCTTGTATTTTCCTCACTGTGGTAAGGTTATCTTGAAATACTCAGTAACTGTAATCTATTTTGCAAGAAATTTAATCCCAATGAGTATGTACCTGTTACCTGTTACTTTTTTAGTTTCGCCAAAAATCCACGATACCATAAAAGCAATTTCTCCAAAAGATAATTTGTCATACACATTTATTATACATTAAAAAGGAAGAAATTATGGTGGCTGATTTATGCCATTCGTGTTTTCGCCCCGCGACCCCGCCAAACGAAAAGTCGAAAACAACAAGTTATAATTGCGGGGGCGCGGAGCTAAAACACGCTCATTAGCGAGGGCGCGGAGCGAGATTTAAGAAATTAAACGGCAGTGTCGCGGAACGAAAACACGCTAATTAGCGGGGACTTCCACTGAATTGCTGAACTTTTAAAGCTTTAAATCAAGGGAGGTAATAAGAACACAATTTCATATGCCCCAAAATATTATATTTATGTTAAAGCTTAGATATTTTGCATGAAGTATGCCTTGTTGACATCTACCAAATTTATATAAATCATGTTCAAGGGGTCAGTTTCGCCCCAGGGGTCTCATAGTTAGAAAACTTATTTTCATGTATGTATTCTTTTGTAAAGTTACAAATCCCAGATCATAGTTATTTGGCATGTATTATTACATAGAAGAACCCTGCAGTTGTTGCAAAAATCATTTCACTGATATTGGAAAATGGCTGTACCCAGTGGGTTAGTTTGGGATGGGTAGGTTTGGCACAGTTGACATGTGTACAGATTTATATAGTATACTAGAACATGTTTTTAAAAGTCTTTTTCTCCAACCTTCAACATGCAGAACCATTTTTTAGCAAGTATCATTACTTTGTAGAAGTAGAATTATCAATTTTGTAGGAATAATGAACAAAGGATGTATTTTGTGTGAGTACCGATGCTTTAAATGTAAAGGGAGGTAATAAAAAAGAAAATAAGACAATTCTTTGTAAGCATAACATTTTGATTATTCTTTAGTCTTGTATTATGTGCTTTTGAATTTCTGGTATATTATGTAAATGTTTCTTTTTTTTTTTAAATTTTTATCATTTAAAAAACCAAAAAAGACAAACATAATTGTTGTTTTCAGTCAGTATATATACTCCGTGATGCATGTAGGTAAATAATCTGGGTTCTGCACTCCACAGTGCCACTAAGTATTCTTGTGACAAGAGCATAGCTAATAATAATAATAATAATAATAATATCTTTATTTAAAGAAGGTTACACATTAAGAACATACAATAACAATCATATATATCTTATTTCCAATGTGGCCTTCTGAAATAGAAAACAACAACAACAACAACAGGACATGCATAGGTAGAAAAATGAATGTATAAAATGTAATTTTTAGAATAATACAACTCATATACTTTCGACAGACACTCAACAATTTGTTTAAACATATACGTATATTGTATCATTCGTTCGTTCGTTCATTCGTTCGTTCATATATTTATTCATTCATTCATTCACTCACTCATTCATTCATATAAACATCAAGATATGCTTTGTATTTTCTTTAAAACATTTAAGGTTATTAACATTACGAATATTTAAAGGTATATTGTTCCAAATGTTCATGCCATAATAAGAAAATGTGTCTTTAATATAATTTGTTTTAGGTCTTGTCCATAATACAATATCTTTTCGTGACCTAGATCTTAAGTTATATATTTTGTTGTCGGATAAAGTCATCAGTTCTGTCATATAAGTCGGTGCCATGTTATTTAAAGTTTTAAAAACAAGCACCGCCGTGTGGTATTTACATCTGTCAAGGAACGGTAACCAATTAAGAGTTTCGAATAGATTTATTGACGGAGATCTTTGAGGTTGCTGTAAAATGATTTTAGCAATTCGTTTTTGTAACTTACAAACATTATTTATGTAGTTTGTGTTTCCTTTACCCCATATAATACAACAATAGTCCATAATGGCATGTATCAATATATTTTAATATTGATAATTGAAATAAAACATGTTGCGGACAAATGAAATAAATAGGTATCCTCTTTGTTTAAAATTTATTTTTGATTACTTTAATTTTTTTTTAAACAAATTTGCATTCGAGCGAATATTGCCATGCCTATGCGGTACTTTTGTTTATGGTTACCAACTTCTGCAATGTCATTTAATGCAATCTTTTTGGGAAATTTTGTTGCCGTGGGTAAAGTTGTGTCCACCATTCAATATGGTAATGAAGAAAATAAACACAAAGCACTATACAATCAATCAATTTTGCAAATCCATTTCCGTTCAATTCTTTGAAAATTACCAACGGATGAAGGGAATAACGGTCATAATGCTTATTGTGATCCATATGTGGACATGTGTTTCATATCCAGCATTGAATATAATGCAATGATGAACTATTAACAATCAAAACACTGACAACGTCTTAGTTTTCGCTAAGAATTTTACCAATGTCACGTCGAGGTGGGTATACAAGTTTACATATGCGCACTTAGTTCCAAACTCTTAACTATGAAGTGTTCGACTTAAAACATAAATGACAAAAGTTTGGGTGATGTCATTGGTCGGCAAATGATGTGAAACACTAATAATGAATTAGGGTTGAGCACTAAAATACCATAATGCGCGTAAAATACACACCGACTTGCTACAACTTTTTCAATGTTTGAATACTTGTGGTTTATTTTTTGCATATCAACTTATCTTGTACTAGAATTATATATGAATGTGATTAAAAGGCTTATTAACTTGCTATTGCGTACTACGCTATGCAATTTATGACCTTCGTTGATCGCATCATCGGTGTCCTGTTTGGGTCATCGCAACACAAACATACCTCAAAACAACGTAAACACGAAATTACGATGGTAAAATGTCAAAATAAAGAAATCTGGATTATGCAAAGTCAAAGGTTCGATAATGAAAAATAACGAAACTCGTTTTCTCCATCGTACTTTCGACATACATGTAGTTGGGAAAAGATTTTCCAACAAATGTGGTAACAGCCTTAGAAATTGTGCAGTTGCGTTGTTGTTGTTTTAACATACAAGACATGAAACACAAAGTAAATTAGCTAATAAACTCATCTCTGAAAAGTAACCCGTGACTTTAGATAACAACAGGATGTTATCCTTGCTATGCAAGGAACAAATGTATCAACTAAAATTCCGAAGGAAAATGAGGTGTTTACCGATAAGGTAACACTTTTCAATAGATGACCGGCGTTCAATTGTAATGGATTACACTGAAGCAGTTATACAAGATTAAGGAGAATATTCAAATTGGAGTTTGTTCTACATAATCAGAATATAAAATTTACACACAGAAAAGATGCCAGATTACCTTACCCTTTCCTTCAGGACATGTTTATCATAAAAGGAAAATAAGTAAATAAACATTATTCTGCTTTCATATGATTTAATGTTATTTGTTATGTCACTTATTAACCTATAAGTAATATGCATGTCTTTGGACCAAAACTACGACAACAGGAACATAACAGGTTCATAATCTATATCAGGGTCGCACCACCGATTAAAAAAAATTCAGTTCTGAAAACCTTTGCATAGAAAATTTTTTCCTTGGTAATTACAGAATATATTTTAAGGCTCTTTTATTTTCCGTAATATTTTCCAACTGATTCAGTCGATTTTAATCCGCGAGCGTTTGTTCAGAACATTTTTTATCAACTGTTGGGGTTGGGAAAAGATTTTAGAACATCGGTGGAATTTCTTAGTTTATTTTACACAGATATGAGTTTCAAATTTTGTCCAAATAACGAGAATAATATCAGAACTTATCCCTTAGTTTATGATGTTCATTAAGTGTCTAATATATTATATGATTATTGATGTATTTAGTTGATATAATGTTATAATTTTTATATATCTTTGCATATTAGTCAAGTATTTATAAAAATAATTGCCTTACCGACTGCGTAGATGTTGGCATTAGAAATTGAGTTCACTTACCGAAACACGACAGGATTGTTTAGAAACACATACACCTTAAAGTATTCCATTATTCAAGATTAATAGCCCTACTAGAAATTACAACCTCATTGTTATACAAGATATGCTAACATTTCTATATGACTTTGCATGAAAAACTAAGGACTAACATACTTTTTTTACATTTACGAAAAATCACCGTTAATTAATCGCTAAAAATATGTTATGACCTTACTCTGAAGTAACTTACGTCTTTTATGGTACAGTCTGTCATGTCTTTCATTCAGACGGGTTTACTTTGTTTATAACTTTGAGTTTCAATATAAACACGGTATGATAATATTATTTTTAAATATCAATCAATATGTATTTTAATTTTAATATTCAGGTGTAAAAAGGCTGACACTGTTTGGAGATAGTAGCAGCGTGACTGATAACGGACAAACACAGATAACGTATATTCGAGAGAGCTCATTTGAAAACGGAGAGACATTAAACCAGCTAATGATAACAGGAAACAACATCTACATCTTGTATCCGTATATATTCCGAAATCTTCCAAACGTCCAACATCTTGCTATACAGAACAATAACATAAGTCATATATCTGCCGCCGCTTTCTCTTCACTCAGCCAGTTGATTGAGTTACGTCTCTCTGACAACATGATACGGTTTCTATCACCAAATGTGTTCAGTCAACTTGTCCATTTAGAGTACTTGTTTCTGAATGGAAATAAGTTGACTGCAATGCACAATTTTGTGTTACAAAAACTGAAACATCTTCAGTATCTCGATTTGTCAAGGAATAATTTTAGAACATTCTATGATTCAGTTTTTGACGGTGCTGTAAATCTACAAGATTTACTGATGAACGAGAACCAGATATGGTACATCAGGTCCCGATGGTTTGAGAAGCTGTCAAAATTAAGAAGACTGGAGATCCGTGCTAACGTAATTACACGTATCGATCCGAGCTCATTCAAAACTTTGACAAGTCTTGAGGATTTGCACCTTTCTGCCAACATAATAAATCTCATATCTAACGAAGCTTTCAGAAATTTATCTAGACTTAAAAATTTAGACCTCGGAACTAACGACATTAATAAACTTGAACCAGGATGTTTCGCTGGCTTAGATTCTTTGGATAACCTTGACCTGAGCGTAAATAAACTTTCGTTTATAAACAATAAAACGTTTACATCAACACCATTATTGAGAGTTCTTCATTTATCAAAGAATTCAATTAAAGATGTAGAAGAAGCAGCGTTGCATCCTTTAACATTGCTACAGGAATTGGACTTGTCGTACAACAAACTAAAAGTCGTTGAAAGTAAAACGTTTACTGGTTTAATGGAGCTGAAAGAGGTAAATCTGGAACACAATATTATATCAGAGGTCAAGAATGATGCATTTATAGTAGCTCCTTTAAATCAACTGTCAAAAATCACATGGCTAAGTCTACAGTACAACAGGATTAAATCATTAAATGCATATTCATTATATGGCCTTCCACATCTAAAATTCTTTAATGTTGGACATAATAAACTTAAGACCATACATAGTAAATCGTTTTATACATTAATCAGCTTGCAAAATCTTATGATGAATAACAACAAACTTTCAACTCTTGAAGATGGATTATTTACCAATTTGAAACTTTTGTACTCTCTTTCATTAGAAAACAATAAAATATCAGTGATTTCGGACAATTCTTTCGTCGGGTTAAGAAAATTAGATGATCTTAATATGAAGTCAAACAGACTTGAAAGTATCTCAAAAAATGCATTCAGACATCTTTCAGATTTGACACATCTTCATCTAAGCAACAACTTGTTGTTTACCTTCGACTTTGGCGATTTGGGTTTGGTTAAGAAACTTGAAAGCATTGACCTTGGATATAACCGTCTATTTGAGTTAAAGTTCCCCAAGCACAGAACACATACTTTGAGGGAGCTTATACTTTCTTATAATCAGTTACAAACGTTATCTTCAAATGCCATAAATATATTGGAGCCAATCAGTAATGCCTACCTGGACAACAACCCCTGGTCTTGTGACTGTAGATTGGACTGGCTACCTAAATATATCTCAGAATATAAAATACGTTTAGGCAGGTCAAGCTTTAACACACTCTGTCGGGCACCGTCTTCATTGTATGGAGTCAAGGTAAGTTACACCTGAAATGTCTCCTGTATTATAATATGGTATCATTATTTGCAAGAAATAACTTTTTTCCTAAGTTTTACTTTTAATCTCACATTTTTCCTTCTTCTGTTAATGAACTTGCAGCCATGTCTTTTTTTACAAGCAAACTTTTAAATTTTCTGAATATATACTTCTATATTTAATTTACTGATCACCATTACTTTAAATACTTTTTAATGTTTATTGTAATATGTCATATAACACAAACTTGCACATTTTTCTTATTCTTAACTTAACATTTTATTTTCTACTTTCTACTCTTTATTAGAACATGTCGTCTATAATTCCTGAATTAAAATGTGTAAATTAGATTAATTTATTCTGCATATCGAAAGGGTATTTTTTAACAAGTTAGAAATCAATGACTCTAGGTTTGTATATAACAAGTATATATCTCAATATATTTCATTTGAATCAAACAATCAAGATTAAAATTCAAGAAGCACATATTACTACTGGAAAAAATGTAGGATGAAAGTCAGAGCAATAATTCCATTATCGAATGATTGTGTATTGAGACACTTTATAATGTATGTATAATCGTATATATACATGTATTTAAATTTTTCACAACTATAAATATATTCACACAAATTTGTTTAACCTATTTACTGATCAAAAAATTATTCAGTGATTATAAAATGATCGCATTATAAAAACGGTGATCAAAAGTAACACTTTTTACAACTTGTGAATACATTGTTACTGTTAACACAAGAAAAGTTCAGGGTACATTACTTTCATACGGTACTTGTTTTTCTTATGAAGTCATTTAAATTTCACTTTTTTCAATTATTGGGTTCAAAGTTACGTAATTATTTTTTTGTATTTTCTGCAATGGGATATAATGTTTTACATGTACAGGAAATGGAATACATTGTTAAACACTGGTCAGTATCAGCATATGAAAGATCATGCAAACCAATTTTCATTTTTAAAAAACACATTTTGTTGAATGCCCTAATCTTGGTAAGAAGAGACGTCTTAAAGACTATCAAAATAAAGGATCTAGATGAAGAATGTTACAGATGTATTATAAACACGTCACCGTTTTAATGTCCATATGCTTTCACAGCGCTATCTAGATTACTAGCACACGGGAATGTGATGCCATCTAATCAACGACTTCATCACATTGTCAACCCGTAGATAATTTGTATACATTTGATGAGTTCCTTTTTATTATATTTTCTAGTAAAATCTCATAGTATACATGCGTTGTCAAAGTCCTTTAGTATATTAGCAGTCCATGTCATGGTTTAGTTTTTTTTAAAACTTCTGACTATAAAAAAAAACAACAAAAAAACTATCCAAACCCATTTAATTTTAAATTAGCATTGCTTCATTTGTGTAAAATCCTTCATCTCGAATTACGTCACTTAGGTCAGTCTGTCCGGCGTTTGTCACGGAATAGAATGGAATACAACACCTTGAAATCTAAAACTTCATATAATGTGGTCACATCTCACGTGTCTCATAACTCTCTTTTGTATAATTTTGGAGTTATGTGTTGTGGTTTTTTTTAACTTTGTAACTCATAAAATGTTTGAGCTATCAATATCAAGTTTCACAGCTGTATTATATAGAGGATATTTGTAAGATTCAGTGTAAGATTCGAACTTATCTTTATTTTCTGTATTTTATTTCGACATGTCATGAAATTTTATGCTAGAATTGCTTACCGTCATTATCTTCTACTCTTCTTTCTTTAGCTAATTGATTCTATGGAAAGTGTAACTTCTATATTTCAAAATTGTATGAATCCTAAAACAGAGAAGCTTAAAACATTTATTCTAAATTACATCAACGGTACTTTCACTGTCAAACTTTGTATAATGTCAGAATTCTAATGGTTCCTTCTTTCAGAAATATAATTTGTTTGGCCTCAGGAAAAAATAAATTCATTACGCAAATAAATGACGTATTTGGATATATATTTATTTATATTAAAATATAATTTTCTCGACGTACTTATCCAATAGTTTCTTGCACGTCTTAAGTTACTTGATGTACTTTAATGTATTCTATATTATTGCAATTAACACATTATATATTCTATAATTACTTAAATCAATTTTTTCACAAGGCTGCTTTCATTTTTTCTCGAGTCTGTTCAATCTTATTAACCAGGAAATATTGTTTTCACATTTTAAATATTTTTTTATGTTTTAGATAAGCGATGTAGCTATAAGAAACTTCCGTTGTGATAATAGTACTGTTTCAAAGATGTTCATGTGTCAGAATCTACAGATACGATATACAAAGCAAGCCAAGGATGATATAATGAGGTAAAATCTTCAGAATTCGAAAATAGTTAATCAAATTTCCATTTAAAGATTTTCGATTTTGGACTTTTGCAATATCCTCCGGTCACTTAAATGCTGATCTCCGGCTATATAAATGTCCTCTACTAGGGATTGTCTGATCAAAGCTTTTGATGTTATAGAATCACAGTGTGTAAACCACATTGAATTTGACATCATTTTAAGATGTTTTCGCAGTTGTAATGATTTGCCTATATATCCCTATTCACTAATTTCATGTATTGTTATGTTATATTCAGTGGCACTGTCAATCAACTGCTCAACGTGATTTACAATAACACCTTTCTTCTGTACTATTAATTTGTAGTTTTAATCATTTACTATGACGCCAAAATGTTTGACCAAAAGGCCCTTTCAAACTACTTATATATATTCTGAAAGATATAATATTGAACTGTATACGTTTGATCTTATAACTCTTGATTAAATCATTATATTATACTTTAATACATGTATATGGTCACCCTGAATAGAATGAAAGAGGGTTGCTTCCTAAAATGCTTCGTTTATCCCAGCAATTGATATCAACAGAACAAAAACTGCACATATTGTTTAATGGCATATGATCTTCACTGTTATGTAGAAACATTTGAACCACAGTGGTTTACAATATAATTCTTCTTTTTATGTTTGGACTAATTTTACAATATTTATGAGTTAAAAGGGATCAAATCACCAAGAGTTATGATTTCTTGCCTTACTGAAATGATTATATTGAACAAATGTTCCTGTTGCCGTCCGTTCATACTTGACTTGGGACACGATCTTCAAGTAGACCAGACTAAATTTGATCTTCATTTATAAATGACATTGACCTTTAAGGTCAAATGTCTAAATTTTGCTTGATGTTTGCTGATTAGTGGGTATAACTTAATTCTAAATGGATTGTCTTCAATCTTGAACATAACAATCTTTTTTAGGATAGACCTTCTAGTTTAGCAGGCAAACTCTGACCTTCTCTAATAACAGACCTTGACCATGAAGGTCAAATTATTGATTTTTTTTGCAGTAAATGGCTATAAGAAATGGAATTAATTTGATTTTTTATGATAAGACCCTTATTTGTATTAAACCTTATTTGACCTTGATTGATTTATGACCTTGACCTTGAAGGTAAAATTATTAATTTTTATTGAATTTTGCTATAATTGACTATATTCAAACTTACGCTATAATTGACTGTAACTTTGTAATTAATGCATGGATTATCTTCATACTTGGACAAAACAACCTTTTGGACATAATCATTCTAAAAGGTGATACTGGCCTTGATCTTGACTATTGAATTGATTTATACTTAAACTCGAATTTTAATTGACCGTGACCGTCAAGATCAATTAAATAAAATTCTTATGTTTTTTTCTGTATCTGACTTTAACTGTTATTTATAAATAGATTAATTTCATATTTAGACACAACATCTTTTAGGTCAAGACCTTTATGTATATTAAACTCAAATTGACCTCGACTCATGTATGACCTTGACCTTGAAGGTCAAATTGTTGAATTTTCACTGATTTTTTTTTCAATTTTCTTTTAAAAAATTGTGTTAACCGTTTATTTGTTTGCTTAAAAGATCGAGCGTTGCCCTCGCCCGGCGGAGGGTCTTGTTATCGTTTTTTACATAAATATGCTTAACTGCTAATTTTATCACGCAAATTTTAACAATAATATATAATAACCACATGTACTAATATTTAAGTCTGTGTGCATTTAATTAAGATAACGTTTCCTTCATTTTAAATCTATATAAAACCGGGTGCAATATAAATTGGCTACACGCAATCTTTTGTTTACAAATATTTCTTTAAGAAAAGTTGAATAGTCGTGCATGAGCATTAGTTTACTTATTAGTTTACTTAGTGCATAAGTTTACATATTATAAGATATGTATGTAAAGATCATGGCAAGAAGTATGATTGAATGTGTACCTGTCAGACTTTACTTGATTTACATAAATATTTTGAAGACATTAAAACATTTTCAAATCAAATCAGGAACAGCCATTTATTTATATGTGATGTATTTCAGGAAAAGTAAACGGGAGGCGAGAAATTGGCATGTTAGTTTCCGAGCTGAGGATAATAAGAGCAACATAAGTCGTGTCTGTAACGGAATTCTCTTAACAAGTGACTGGGTGTTAACACGCCGTACCTGTTTTCAGTCGTATATACCTTATAATTCTTCAAAAGTTATAGCAAAAGTAGGAAGAAAAGAATCAAGACAAATAGCTCTCAGTATAGACTACTCCACCGACCAAACGGCGAATGATTTCGATTTGCGTTTAATTCGGTTGGCAACAAAGAGAACATATGACGACTCGGAAACATTACCATGCATTTTAACGCATTCACAGTATCACCAGCTTGCAACCGTCATTCCGGAAGCAATTTTTACTGTGAGGCGTTATACGAATGAGACACGAAAGTGGAAACTTCTAGCAAAAAGAGGAAAGATTGCTAAGAAATGTGATAACAACGGTAGTATTTGTGTAAGAGTCAAAACGCCTGAGCAGTTGAATATGCAAGGTTCCCCACTTTCTCTCCGTTACCAAGGGATATGGTATCTAGCTGGCCTAGGGATCACTGTTAATTCAACGGAATTGAAGAGTTCAAAGTTTACACCTCTCTGGACGGTGAATGAATGGTTAGCAGCAACAATATATGAAATTGATAAAAAATGTCGATTTCTTACAACAGATAAAAAGACAAACGTTTTATGTGAAAATTTGAGCCTGAATGGTGTGTTGAAATCGGACAAGGTTCTTCACGTGTAAACGTACAAAAAGTTGTAGGGCAATCGAATATATATAAAAAAATTGTTTCCTATGTCATGAACTGACCCGGCTGTTTTCTTTTTTAGCAAAACAGAGGGCCTTAAAACATGCAATAATAGGCAAAGTGTGAATTATTTGCCAATTATTTTTATATGTAGTCTATTATATTATTTGAGAACCAAAATATTTTGAACAGTAAATTTATTTACTTAAGTATCAGATGAGATCCTTTCCAAAATCCTAAAAAAAAAACGGAAAATATGCAAATGATAATAAAAAGATATATTTAGTAATAAATTGATAATCAACATTTTGAGCAATTCCTGTTTGAGTTAAAAGCGTTTAACGGTATTTATCTTAGGTCATTTTACACGATTAGAATTTTAGAAAAAAACTGAGAAAGTGAATTATCTGAAATTTGCACACAAGTTATTAGTCCAGATCTTCATCAAATGGAAAAAAAATATTTCTATCTCCATCAATCGCAGTCCCTCCACACCACATAAGATTATTGGATTCAATAAATGTACCTGAAACAAACGGTAATCGAGAAAACTGCCAAAAAATAATGTATGCTTTCACGAAAAATGAAAAATTATACCACTTATATACGTTTCCCGTCACTTTGAAATAGTTTTATGTTACAAAAAATTGTATTGATTTGAATACTGCTATTTATAGTTTCTGTCCGTCCCTGTATTACTTCTAAACAGAAACGAAAACTGTTGTAAAAATATTTTCTTTCACAATAAACACAAATTACAATAGTCAAAGGCTGTCTTGGTCATAAAATTATTAACACCACTAATTTATCGGACATGTTTTTTTTCTCAATTCATTTTCGGTGCTGCCTGCGTTGGATATAACGTTTGAAATAGATTAAACGCCAAATTTTCTGAAAAAAGCGAATTGTACTCCGTTTGTAGATTAAATTTGATTAACTCAGAATAGTCTTACATTAACTAAATTGTTATTTTATAATATCTAAATGGCATATGGCGCTTGTGCAAATCTTGCGCCGAAAATTACGGAATATTTTCTTTTTATATCCATCTTAGTATAATAGTCTAAGAAATCCGTGCAAAAAATAGGGCAAATTGTGCACCTCTTGTGAAAAGCATGAAATACAGAAATACTTTTTATTTAAGCCTGGGATGTGCGACTCCAATCTGGCCGCCAAAATCCAAGCTTGTCGCCATATTAAAATTTTCAGAATATTTTAGTTTTTCAGCTGTAGTCATTGCCAGAACAGTATATAAATAACACATGGGTTTGTGGGTAACAGTAAAAATATCATCCCGAGGAAAATACTGTTACCCGAGGCGTAGCCGAGGGTAACAGTATTTTTACGAGGGATGATATTTTTACTGTTACCCACAAACCCATGTGTTATTTATTTTATTACCCCGAACAAAAAAACTTTGATGATCTGAAATTGTCAACTAAATCTAACTGTAACAAAAAAAACCCAAGAGTAACAATAACTAAACTGTCCTTACCTTTTAAGTTTTAAGTGTACTTTAGGCCTACTTGAGTAGTTTTCTTTTTCTTTTATTCTTTAAGCAAGTGATATCTACAAATCATAAACATACAATAAGCTAGGTTTTATTTAGAAAACAAAACACTAACCCATTTACGCGGTTATGATCTGTGAAATCTGATCCTTCTGTTTCCAGAATATTCTTAGCATGGTTTTTGACATAATAACGATGATATCCTATGTCTGTCCACCATATCTGTAACGTTTCACTGATTAAAAAAATCCTTTGTTGCATGCTTAAATCGTCTGCATGTTCCAGTTTGACATATATAATTATTTACATTGCAATTACTTCCGTTGAAAACGGATGTTCACTTTTTGACTATTCAACAAAAAGATATTTTATACGCGAAAAGCATACCAGGGTGCAAACAACTAAATTTTATGAGTGTCATAGTTACTCCAGACAAGAAATTGATGTCCTATCGGGTTTAACGTTGAAAATAAGAATGAATCGAGAAAAAAATGGCGGCCATTTTATTTCATTTGATTTAGAAAATAGACCACGAGACCAGATTTTATATGTTAAAAAATACTGTTACCTATGTAACAGTACAAAATTCTTAGTCACGTGGTACACTTGCATTAACAGTAAAAATAACTCCCAGAGGCCTATGGGAAATTAGCATTACGAAAAAAGTGAGGGGTAATAATATGGAATAACACTAATTTATTATATTTCACATTTATTTATATTCAAAACATGGATCCAGATTCTGTGAATCCAATATGGCCGCCATATTAAAATTTTCAGAATTTTATATTTTTTCAGCTGTAGGCATTACCAGAACAGTATCAAATAGCACCAATTTATTATATTACACATTTTTTATACACAGGCGCGGATCCAACATGGCCACCAAAATCCAAGATGACCGCCATATACAAACTTTCAGAATATTACAGTTTTTCAACAGAGTCATTACTATATCAGTATGAAATAGCACCAATTTATGATAGTTCACGTTTGTAAATGCATATTAGCAAAAAGATAATCTATCAACATGACTTCCAAAGTTAAAAATGGCCGCCAAACCTTATATAGTTATGATACTGTTTGAAAGCCCATTATGCCTCAGAAATGCTATCATTTTTATTACTCAGAAACATTTTATTGTTGGTATATATTTAAATTTTCTAAACATTTACCCATTTGCCACATAGTTGAACAATCTCTTGCTTCTTTTGCTTTGTTGGCATTTGGTATAATTATAGTAAAATAGTATTTGGTTTGAAAGTCAAAATACTATTTTGTTTACATTTTGCAACCTTTATGACACATTACTCCACGGTCAGTGCTACTTTCTTGAGTTGTTATACATCTAATATGCTCTAATTCGATTATATAAACATGTTGACATTTCAAAAAGAATTGTAAATGGACGGATATCTAAGGCATAACGTGCCTATAAAAATGTCCACTTCATTTTTTACATTGAAATATGCTCATCATTAAAACTGCCTCAAATTAAAAAAACAACAACAACACATTTTACATCGTTTTAGAACACGATGAAGGACATAACTGAATACTTAACCCCAAAAATGGGGATTAAAGATCTTATGTTCTTATTATCTGCCTGTTTGCAATTTTAGATAATTTTAAGGGCAATTTACTCGCGAATGATTTAATACGTAGCTAACCCCTGTTGGGTCATTGTGCAAAAGTTGAAGAGATGGAAGAGAACGTTTTGTATATTCTTACCAAGAACGATGCCAATTTCCCTAAAAAAAACACTTTATAATGATCTTCTGTATAACGTATCTATATAACTTCATAGAATTCAGGGCTATGAAATTAAGCAAAGTTTTTATTAATAGTGTGATTCTAGAAAGAGTTTACAGAAACTATCAAAATTAAAACAAAAAATGGTTGAACAAATGACAAACTACACTGACCATTTCAAACAATAAAACACCTAAACAATATAGGTAAAGTAGGCATGATTTCACTAGTTCTTATATCCTGAACTTATATGACAGATGCAGAAGGAAATAAACAAACCAGAAACATTTAATCTAAGTAAACAACAATAGTATTTAGACACGCGCTGCTCAAGTTTTTGAAATCCAAATAACCGAGATTAAAAAAGGAACCATTTGTTAGATCTGAAAAAAACATTATGCTTATGAAAGGCTTTTCAACTGCAATAAAATATGAAAGGAAGAAATTAACAAGGGAGAGCATCGCCCCTTAAACGCAGCCCCGAAATTCTCAGTAGTCAGAAAGTCAGTAGTGCGATCTTAGTGATGGAAAATTTTATAAAAAATATCAAATATAAACAGATATAAAGTCTAAATTTGATCTCTTTTTATATTAAAACATTAATGACTATAAATGTTATTTATGCACAATTCTAGGCTGAGACCTGGTCCCCTAAAAAGCCATTTTTTCTGATTTTCTAATTTATTTCACAAGACCTTGCCAGAATAATGGCACAATTAGGGCCTGTTAAAAAGCTATTTAAATTACCAATGAAAAAAAGGATGCTACAAACTAAATTTATAAACAAAAATGGGTCAAAGACAGAAAAAGCCGGGTTGCATTTGTATACCAAATATCATGAGGCTGTGATGTTGCAAAAAATGTTTACCATTGACCATTAATGTCGAAAATTTAACTAAGTCGGTAAACAGGATGTGGATGAGCAGTTAACATACCTGAAATTGAATGTCACTGTATGGGACCACTAGTTAATGCTGTATGCCAAATATCACGAGGCTGTGATAAGTAGTTTTACGAAAATTTCCTACCATTGACCATTAATGTTGAAATTTAACTAAGTCGGTAAACAGGAAGTGGATAAGCGACAGACCTGAAATCAAATCCCACAGTATGGGACCATGCGTTAATGCTGTTTGCCAAGTATAAAGAGGTTGTGATAAGTAGTTGCTGAGAAAACTGTTAAAATTTTTTTCCCGACCGCTGCCTATCATTCACCATACTATAACCCGGGTTTGCATATGTGCAAGCCGGCCAAAAATTAGAAAGACCGGATTCCAAAGAACTTAAAATTCATCAATGGCTCGATTAACGCTATCTACTCGTGAATACTAAAGCTAAAATAGTTGGGAAAATGTCTCCTTTCATTAACCAAATACGGTCCTATATCAAGAACCACTATTGTAATTCTTGGCATACAGGCGAAAGACATATTTAATGAAATATGTCGTGTTTATGGGAACAATGAACTTTCTTTTTCATCCGTCACACGGTGCTGAGAGAAATTTAAAAGTGGTGTGGATTACCTCATGCACGCCGTCGGAAAACTGCAACTTCGCCAAAAATGGTTGAAAAAGTAAAGGATTTGATTGCTACTGATTTACAACTAGGTATACATGTATAAGTAAATGCATTGGTATCTCTGAAGAAGCCTCTCATACAATTCTCAGACGTGATTTCATATTTGAACACCTCTCGTATGATAGGTCATATAAAGTCGGATTTTTCTTTAAAAGCCAGCTCACGATCACCACTGGACAATCTTTAAAACGTCTTACGACGGTCATCGGTTATCTTCGACAGTGGCATGTTACCTTATTTAGGTCCCACGACCAATTTCAGTCGCAGAGAGGTTTTTGGGCTTGCAAACAGGTCGCTAGTGATCTTATAAGGTCTTAGGCTGTTGCACGATCGTCGTTCGAAAGTCTCTAATAATCTTCAACTTGTCGCCGCCGAGGTCCTTGTCACTCTGTCGCAGGTAATCTTTCCAGTCGTAAGATCATCGTGCGATTAGTAGCGACCTGTCTTACGATCACCCACGATTACAAATGACAACTAGCGACTTCGCTACGATAAGTAACAACCGTCGTACGATCGTAAAGTCCTTATTAATACCTCCAATCCATCAGTCTTTATTCAGGTTTTTGTTAATCGCAAAACTGTCGTGCAACAATCTTACGACAGTCTTTACTAATTGCCACTAGTCACTGATAGTCTTGAGTAGTCTTTAGTAATCGTGCGATGGCCGTACGACTCGCATGACAGGTCACGGGTAGTCGTGAGTAATCTCAGACAATCTTGAGACCATCGTATGTTTGCTGATAACCTGTCATGCGATTGTCAATGACTGGTCGTACGATAATCGTGGAAGTAGAGAGTGTTTGGTCGCAGATAATCGCCGATGATTGTCGGTTTTACACGTCGCCGGTGGTCGCAAGTAATCGCAAGCTCTAATGTGACCCGGGTTTAAGGTCCGTGGTGCGTAGAGCTTACGATTACTTGCGACCGCCGGCGACTTGTAAAACTGACGATCATCAGCGATTGTCTGCGACCGAAACCATTTTTGCACAGATAAATTTACTTTTGCGAGTATCGTAAGACAAGTCATCATTGACAATCGCACGACAGGTCATAAGTAAACATACGATGGTCTCAAGATTGCCTGGGATTACTTACGACTACCCGTGACATAACATGCCATCACCTACAACTTGTCGTACGACCATCACACGATTACTAAAGACTACTTAAGATTATCAGTGACTAGTGGCAATTTGTAAAGACTGTCGTAAGATTGTCGCACTTCCGAACAACCATCGTGCGACAGCCTTAAGACCTTATAAGATCACTAGCGACCTGTTTGATTGCAAGGAGGTTTTTGTGCAAGCTCAAAAACCTCTCTACGACTGAAATTGGTCGTGGGACCTAAATAAGATAACCTGCGACTGTCAAAGATCATCGATGACCGTCGTAAGACGTTTTAAAGATTGTCCGCGACCAGAGGTCACTGGTGATCGTGAACTGGTCTTCACTGGTCGTAAATGTGACTGGGGCTTTAGCTAAATGGTTACTTTCTTGAACGGAACGGTCAATTTTTTCAGCTTGTTGACGTTATCACCTCTCATTAGGGGATATATTATTAGTTATAAAGATTTTTGACATGTTATATTGCCCTATATAAATGTTTTTTTTTAAATCCCAGTCGCTAGGCGAGGGTTATATTGCAAACAACCGTTTATATACGGTCATATAACTTGTCAGGAATATTTATACCGGAAACTTCCTCTTTTTTTTGGAGAAAAAAGTGAGATTTCTTAGAAAATTGACAGTAGCCGTGTATATAAAACTATATAAACGTCACGATGACGTTAAAAACATGCAGTATTATAAACAATGTTCTATTATAAGCGATTGTGTCTGGCGCCTTTAGGCTTACTGAGAATATGAGAAAGTATTTGATAATGGTATCACTCTTTTTATAGTACCCATGCCTTTGATGCAAGATCAAGGTCATGGTTCCTCTACTGGTAAATGCTTTGGGTTTATTTTTCTGTTTCCAACGACAGTTCGTATTTCTTACAAAATTTGGTTGTAAAAACTTTCACTTCCGTGTTTATTATCATAGGGGAAGTTAAAATGATCCGTGTTTATTATCATAGGGGAAGTTAAAATGAATCCAATGCGCAAGCGCTGTAATTAAAGCCCCTTCCTATATCAGGTTCGTTTACAGTATCATCGTACTTTAGTTTATGCAGACAATGAAAGTGTTTTTTTTTAAATAAGCATATAAAAATATTGATTGGTAAAAGTTATGACTGAAATGCACCCAAATATCAAAAAATTCATAAATAGAAATTAACTAAAACAAAGGGAAAACTACGCTCTACTTTTTATTACACTAAACTCGTACTCGTAAAAACAACAGCAACACAAAAATGGCAACAACAACATCAACAACAACAGCTCTAATGTTTGCAAGAATACTTGTGTTAATAATTTCATGTTTCCCACAGATAAATAGTTAACCTTTTATTACAATAAGTTTTGACATTTATAAAAGTACTTTATATGATAATGATAATTTTGATTGTGACAACTAAATGTCACCTGACATACAATTTACAAATTATCCATCATTTTTATATATGTATTCAAATTATCTTTAATGTTATGAACATTCGCATACATTAAGTGTGTCTTTTACTGTCAGGGGTTTCCCCCCAATTAAAACTGTACGGATATACACCGGATATAATATGTTTCGAGTCAAAACAAAATATAAAAAAATACCAGAGGTAAGAAAGATTCAATTTTACACTTATTTGACCTCATTTTGATTTAATATTTCCAAATATTACACATGTACAAAAAAAACAACAACAACAAAAAACAAAAAAACAACAACAGTTTTTATGTTTAAAAACTGGGTGCGCCTTGTGTACTGGGTGCACAAAAGTGTATAATGATCAAGTGTTCTTGGTATAACGTATAAAATAAGCACAGAAAAAGATACCTTCAACAGCTCCATTGTCAGTATAATCATCTTCGTTATCATCGTCATAATCATCATCATTTTTATCATTTATTTTAAGACAGACATGGAAAGTTAGACAGACATGGAAAGTGAAACATTAAAGGGTTTTGTTGGCTGCCAACAGGCATATATGCAAGTATCTTCTTGTCAAAAATAGTATATTATATATAGAAAAGTCGCACGAAAAATCGGATATAGCGGATATTTGTTTGTTTTTGTAAAGGAAATAACATCTTGCACACAGAAAAAACCAACAAATTTCCTTTTGTTTTATGCTTAAATACAATTATGTTCAAACAATTGGATTCAACTGTGAGGGAAAAAAACGAAAAAAGTCATGATTTCTACTTTCGTTTTGACAATGCAAATTGCTTAATGAAAATTAATGATTGATGATTATTTGTAATCAAATTGACTTCACAAATTATGATATGTAAGCAATGATCTAACAGTGTTTGCACTAAATGATTGCCAAATATAAATCATTATCGGATACTGTCCTATCAGTTTATCCTCGTTTTCATTTTTCGAGTTCAAAAATCCACATTAAATCACTACTATTCTCCATTTTGCCTCGTTTTCTTTTTCAGAGTCCAAAATAGTCCATGTCAAATAACAATTGTACTCCGTCTAGCCTCTTTATCATTTTTTTTCTGAGTCCAAAAAATTCATATCCAATCCTTATTGTATTAGAAGTAAAAACAAAGTTCTGTCAAAATGTAGAAAAATAGTGGTGTATAATTAAGAGATCATTATACAGCTGTATAAAATACTAACACTATTGGACTCATACTCGCCTGCAAAAATGTTGATGTATTTATTGAGTTTTGATTTTTTTGTTATACTCAGCAAAAAATATATTCTAGACCGATTCGGTGTTCCCGAGAGTTATTGTTATTTGCTGCCAAAGTTGTTTCCCTTTCCGTGATCTGCGCATCATCAATATCTACTATACCAGCAATAGCACATCGCATTTATCACTGTTTAAAATGCGAAAAAAGCCCTAACTGTTTGTTAAATCATTCTGTTAAATCGATAAAAAACGACCAGTTACACTTCATTGAGTTCATAACAGTTCTAGTGACAGAAAAGAATGCATACGACGTAAATACCAAAGACAGAATGACAGTTCTTGCAGATAACAAACCGTGGGAGTAAATAAATGGTCAAATTCTATGCTTGTATAATAAATAAGAAATACAAGTGAAAGCATGATAATAAAAACAATTAAACTAAAATTATGTATCATGATTATATTCTAGAAACAGTCATTACGCAAATTAAACACTTAAACTTCAACAACAACATCTCTTCAACTCCAATAAACTCAAAGAATCCAAACAAATAGAAAATGTCCAGCTTATATAACATTTTTGCGCATATATATGTATATAACAGTTTGCGCATGCAGCTGGCGTGTTGTACAAAACTAGACTGGCGCGCGACCCACTAGCGGAAACCAGTCTGCACGACTCCTAGTGCGACCTGAATGTTGCACGACCTATTTATAGTGCTGACATGCCTTAACAATGTTCAAAATGGCGCACAAGTGGTTCAGGGATACAGATTATTGTGCAATACAAACATAAGTACATCAACATGTACATGTTTACTCAATAGCATAACTATTTGTTCAATAATGCAACTTAGTGGAACATATAATTGCATAAAGTAAATATATTTGTACTATTAATGGTATACAAGATTAAAACATTTACTTTTGATTGACAATTCTTTAACCTAATTAACAACCGGAAAATAAACGGAGAAAATCGGCCCTTTTTCAGTCAACATTTGAACCACGTAACCTGTATATAGATAAAGCAGTAAGGAATTTCCAGGGCTGAAAAGAGTACTTTAAATACTATTTACAATGGTAGGATACTACATCATCGCGCACCTGCTAAATGCTTTCAAAATCTGTAGATATTTAATTCTGAGTGGGAGCATCTCTGAAATCAAGTCCGAGTGGGAGCATTTTCCATTTCTATAAAAAGTATGAAGAAAAAGTGACTTTTGAATATAACTATTTGAAACCAATCTAGAAAAATATGTAAACATGACTCGGTTTATGTTCCGGTACATTAAAAATAATTTTCGAGAAGGTTTTCAACCTTATTTCTGATATTGTAACTATCATAAATGTTTACTGTTACTATTTTTAGAAATCGCTACTAACAAAATTATAATGAATTTATACAGTTTAAAGGGTTATAAACCGAATGAACCACTGTTAGTGTAGTGTTAAATGTAACGTACATGTAAATTATATTTTTCGACTTTTTCCTTGTACCGATTTGTCCGCCTGGATGTTAATTTTTCGTTTAATTAAAGTCGTATATTGAAGCGGCGCATGCGGATAACAATGTTTGTAGACTGGTTTTAATGATTTAAGGCTGTACATAAGATTCATTAACGCAAAAATGGATGCTGCCAGCAATCATCCTCTTTACTGTGGATAGGTGGTCTGATGACCTCTCCAACCAAATAGACCATCCTTAAAACAAAACTCCGTCTAATGTCAAATTTCACAATATAACTGTTCCCCTTTAGGAGTGGAGACAACCTGTTTTCTTTTAGCCTGGTCTCACAATATTAAATCTAAGTAAACTACAGACAGTTGCGCAGTTGACTTGCAAAATAAATCGTGTCATTCCGTAGTAGATCATTCGTCTATAACACTCGAATGCTTTGCAGCCGGATGATAATTGTACATTAATAGAATCAGATTTAGCTCAGTCCTAGAATGATAAATCAGATTTAGCCCACCCTAGAATGATAACTCAGATTTAGCTCAGCCCTAGAATGAACTCCGAATCATATTGACCCATATTGTCAAACTTTATACCGGTATAATTATTACAGTTTTACTATTGAGTGTTTTAAAAGAGCAGATTTAGTACAATATTAAAAAATACAAAAACCTTTTTCAATCCCTTCCTAAACAATCTAACAAAATGTTCTAAACATTTCTATGAAGTATCAGGGACATAAAACAAGCAAAATGTAGGCACTAGTATTAGGGGGTTAAAATATCTCAGTTTGCCGTTGCTGCATACTGAGGCAGTTTAGAAGTGGTGCGACAGTTACGATATGTTTTACATTAGAGTAATTTTATCAGTCTGCTTATAATGCCAGTGTCCATATTTCTATAACACTTTTGTTTTTCAGATGATCATATTCATTATGACATTAAGATATTTTTTCATATAAAAGGATTTGACATTTATCAACGTCAATTTTACATGACTGCCCTATTATACTTAATGTTCAAGCTTTGTTCTGAATGAAAACTCATACAGTTTGCTACTCACTCCCTGTGGATCAAAGTGGATCAAAGTACATAGACATGAGGATACTAAAATTAATGTGCGTTATTTTGTATATTTTTGTTGGTCATATAAAAGGTATGTAAGTTTTAAATCATAGATATTTGTTATACATATAAAGAACAAAAGACATACAAAAGTGATATATGATATATATAAACACACCATTATAACATTTCTTGATATAAAAATCTAATTCGAAAGAAGCTATATTAGAAAGTTGTAAACATATATCTCATTAATCAGAGGGAATGGGTCCGATCAATGATATGATATAAAAACAATAAAAAATAACTCATCCAAAAGCTGCAAGACTAGTCTCTATATGAACTTCTGTATTTTGTGCCATTAAACATGAACAATAACCAGTTAATTGAATGTTATAAATCATGGTACAAAATTAGCGTTCTCAGCTGCATACTCTGTAAATTAATGATATATCAGTTAATTCTGATTCGTTTACCTTGACCTTTACATGCAGTATAATTCCATGAATGCTTGAATGGGCAGTTCTTATTTAAGACGATTCCTGCCACTGACCAGTTCTAAGATTAAGCATCATAGGTTTACAGTTGTGTTCTTCTATTTTATTTATTCACATTTGTGAATATCAGAACTTCGTATCATTACACTATAGTATATTTACGTACATAAAAATAAGAAATATAACATACTTAACGATTAACGCAAATAAAAGCGTATGTCGTGCTTTGAAAAATGTGTGAAAAAAATGAGAGGGTACCTGTGATATAAAAAATTTCAAAAGCAGAGAGGTAGCCCGTGCCGCTGCAAAACCGAAAGTAGGGTGTTTTATGAATTGACAATATACTGCCGTTTGTCCGAAGATGATATACAAATGAACATATGAAATCTGTATGATGCATATATAGTCAAGCCAAAGGCTCATTTCAGCCCGAAAAATATGTCGAGGTGATGGGCGAGACAAGACATACGCATTTTATGTAGCTTATTGTGGGGTTGCAATAATTGAAAATGAACACACTAATACTAAACCCTCAGGCAAAAACAACAACAACAACAACAACAACAACAAAAACAACATGTCATTGATCCTAATTTCAAATGTAGGTCACTACTAATTAGCCATCTTAAAACCGAGTCATTCAGAAAATTGGTAGTCTACCATAATTTTTTGTACATCATAATATTGGTAATTTCTTTTTCTCTCTTTAAAACGCCATTTCATTTTTGAAACCAAGTCAGTCAAATTTTGTTAGATCCCAAGACACGTACAAGTAAGGACATGAAAAAGTGAAGAATCGTTAAATACTATACGATAAAGTAATTGTTAAGAAATAGTAGTTTTCATTTTTCAACTAGGAAACTTTTATTATTTTTGTGTAAATCATAGTCTAAGATGTCGAATTAGATACACTTGAGTTACATTTTTCAAATTTTAAACAGAGATGATGCTCCGTTTGAGCTCGACTCAAAAAAAAAAAAAGAAAAAAAAAGTAATAGAAAAAATAGAGGAATTGGGAGTTGCCGTTGCCGTCCAAGGTCAAATGTCTTTATTTGCTTTCTTGGGCTGATTTTTGCTATTTGTAGCTATAACTTTGTTATTTTTAATGGATTGTCTTCAAACTTGAACATCAAAATCTTTAAGCCAACTATACAGACACTGATCTTCACCCATAAATGACCTTGAAGGTCAAGTTATTGAAATTTTCATTTTTTTCTGTAGCTTGCTATAACTTAATTATTAATAAATGGATCGACTTAATATTATAAACTGACATTGACCTTTAAATGTCATTGACCACAAAGGTCAGATTATTGAATATTGATTAAAAAGTCATAATTTTGTTATTTATGTACGAATTTGATTTATACTTTGACAAAACAAAACAAGACATGCTACCAAACAAACATATCTGAATAATTTAGATATGACCTTGACCATAATTTGACATTGACTGTCAAGGTCAAATTAATACAATTATCTTTTTTTTGTAACTAGCTATTAGTTTGTTATTTATAAATGGATTGACTCTATATAATAAGACATAACATAGGCTAGATCAGAACCTTTATGTATATCAAACTGAAATTGATCTTGACTTATGTATGACAATGACCTTAAAGGTCAAATAATTTAATTTTCACTGATTATCGCTATAATTCGCTGTAACTTGGTAATTAGTCAATGGATTATTTTTATACTTGGACCTTTTTGATAAGATCTTCTAATTGACTGTCAAGGTCAAAGTATTTAATTTTGGTTAAGTTGTCATAATTTTGTTATCTATGTACAGATTTGATTCAAAATCAGACAAAACAACTCTTGTTACCAAACAACAACAACAACAACAACAACAACAACAACATTTTATTTGCATAAATGTTATAACATCATTAAAGCCATACAACAGTGGTACATGTTCAAATACAAGAAAATACCCCCCCCCCCCCCCAAAAAAAAAAAAAAAAAAAACAAAAAAAAAAACCACCACACACAAAAAAACCTAAGATTAGCACGGGAAGTATAAGGATGAAATTACAACAAACAGACATCTGGAATAATTTAGATATGACCTTGACCTTTAAATGACCTTAACCGTCAAATGATTGAATTTTTATTATATTTTCTTAACGTTTTCATTTATTTATGAAAAGGAATCATACTTGGACAAAACAAGTGTAACTAGACATACCTATGAAAAATCAAAAAAAGGAAAAACTATTTTTTTTTCTTTCATCTTCTTTTTAAAGATTTGTTTAAACCGGATGATTCGTTTGCTTTTAGAAGAAGTAAAAAAGTCCAGCGTAGTCCCCGCCAAGTGGGGGCTCTTGTACGAACCTGCAAAATATTCCCAACTTTAATACGATGATTTGCACAAGTTCGTCATAGATTTTATTGACATATCATTGCGTCAAACACTCTAATTATTGACCTCCACTGCGGGCGTATTAAAAATGTGGTTTAGAGACATTTAAACCAATTTGGCTGGTTACCTGTACTTATTTCCAATAGATTTATGGCTAAAAATGAGCTATGGTGACAAATTGGAGATTATCTGATTATCTGGGAGACTTGCCAGACGAGGTACTATGATTTGTAACAGGAGGCAAACAAAAAAATTAGTTATGTACAAAAACGTTGTGTAAACTTCAAAAGACCATCAATATAACAGTAGAAAGGGGAACGGGACCGATAGAGAGCGCCAAAAAAACAACAACAAAAAAAAACAACAAAAAAAAAAAAAAAAAAAAACAAAACAAAAAAAACTAAAAAAAACAAAAAAAAAAAACAACAAAAAACAAAAAAACAACACACAGCTAAACAACAAAAAACATCAACATAATAAAAAAAATCATTTGCAATTTCTTCAAAACACGTAAACCCCCTGCTCCTTACAACCGAGCCTACATATTTGTCAGTTGGAAAAACGGATTTTAATATTTTTAAGTCAAAGCTTTGTCCTTAAAAGATGGCATTTTCAGTTAGAAATGACATTTGGTTATACATTGTAGGATTATCACCCCGCCGCCGATTGACACATGATCTGTTGGCTTATTACGACAAGGTTACAATTCCTGACGGTTCTCCACTGAATCTAACACACACGCTACAACTGAAGCGGCTTGTTAACTTTGTAAGTAGAGTAAGAAATAAAATGCTCCCTCAAAATGCATCGCCATGATATTCTCTTACCAAAAATTCCTAGACATTTATATTCTTCAGTTTGTCACTAAACATTACATACCGATGTTCGCACACAGGCTGTGCTGTATATAATGCCTGCCTGTATATAATGCCTGCCTGTATATGATGCCCTTGATTGAACGATAAATTGATAATAACTGCACCTTTCCCGTTTCACTTGTTTCGCATAAAAATTATGCTATATGTAAATGATTATGTATGATTTTTATATGATACATTTTTAGAATGATTTATGATTTATTTCTTGAATGAAAATTTTTTATATGATACATAACTTAAAGAATGTAATTTTTTCAGGAAAACCAAGTTTTGTCTCTTGAAGGTTATGTGTTAATGCAATGGCGGGATGATCAACTTATTTGGGACCCAATTAAGTATGACAACATCAGGATAACCTGGATACCAAGTCATCTTCTTTGGAACCCTGACATCGTACTGGAAAATAAGCAAGTTTTCTACCTACCTTCTTTTATAAATGTATTTGTATGCAAACTGTCGGTGTAATGAAGCATAGTGACCATCATAAAATAATTACTTCTCATCCTTATTTTATAAAACATGCGACCCTCTGTCAATAAAACCTTGACTCAAATGTAAAATATCAACCTAGGTTATTCTTTAGAAGAAACGGTCCCTTTTCTATAAAACAAGAAGAGATCCATTAGACCATGATGTATGCCAAATATCTGAGCTTTACATACACCTTGGGATCACAGAGAAGATTTTTACTACTAAAACATGTGAGGAAAACTGCAAATTGAAAGAAATTCACTAGTAACTTTATGCAAAAATATCTAGGCTCTAGCACTTGGGCTTTCAGATGTGAGGACATTTTTACTTTTTTTAAATGTTTATAAGGAAACCCTGACCAATTGACTATAATTTGCATACTTTCGGTAAAGATGATGTATCATGCCTTAGACCTTGGTATTTAAGAGAGTTTTGACTAAATATACATATGAGGAAAAAACCAGGACCCCAATTTTGACGTTAGAGATTTTATTTGAAAAACTTAACCTTAAAGTTTTAGACAAGAAGTTTAAAAAAATATATTTTTTTAGTGTTTTAAAAAATTGTTGTCATCGATGTACGCACGACGAAGGACTCCGAACGGGCGGGGGGTCACATTTACTCACCATGATCATGTTGAACCCATGTGAGATGAAAACATAAATAATAAAAAAACACAAATCAAGGATGATTCACTAATAATCACCATTTACGTTGAATTTCTGCATTGCATTGTTTTCGAATGCATGATTAATGGTACCGGGAAAAGAGAAACATGTGCGCTCTGCACTTTTTATAAACGTTTAAAATTGGTTATGAAATAAGCGAAAGGTCAGGTTTGTATATGGGTACCGACATTCGCCATAATTGTGTCTCCTAAATGGAGATAATTTAAAAGTTACAGAAGAAGGTTATCACGCTTCGTCTCACTAGTCTCCATAAATATGTAAAGTTTCAATGTGATGTTATTCTCAGTTTAAAAAGTTATACCGGATATAAATTATAAAACATTTTAGTACCATAATTGATATAGAAACAAATAGCAATTGATATAGAAACAAATAGCAGTGAAGAGGTATTTCTTCTTTTTGAACTTCCTTTTGAAAATTCAGGTTTAATTCAAATTTATTTAATACTTTTCAAGTGATTCACCGGACAAGCATCGTATTATCAGCAACAACTATGAAATGTAGAATTATGGTTATGACACTGCACTTCCTCTTACAATGTATAGTTTCAATTAGATACTCTGATGAAGCATTTAAGGAAGGTTAGCTTAAGGAAGATAACTTAAAATATAAGCAAGGTTGTGTTCTTAGACACTGTCCTTCCACTAAATAGTATCTTGCTCTGTGTGAAGTTTTAATCAAATTCCTTCAATACTTTTTAAGGAATGACGCAAGACGGCGAGTCTAGTTGTGCATATCGTCGGTATTTTCCGGTTAAATAATTTTTGTCAAAGTTATAGCCCTTCAATATTTTATATATTTTTTAAAAAGTTTTATCTATACAACAAATGCAATTTAAAAGAAAATTTACAGGATTGATCGATATTTCCAGTACATGATTTTCCGGTTGAATGATTTTGGCTGAGTCATAGCCTTTGAACAAAAAATGCGTTTTGGTCTGATAATGACTTTTTTGTCTTCTTTTACACATTAGCGCCTACCATTAGGCGACGCATGTGGTTACTGATTGATCGCTCTTGTTTCTAATGGGGTCACTTTACTTCGTTTCATCGGATAACAAACTTATAAAGCTTAGTTTATCACCTCGAGTAAAATAGACATCACAATTAAAATGAAGAAAATAAAAATTGAAACAATGCCGTCCTAAAAGTTTACCAAATCCCAAAGATATACAGTTTGTACTTTCAGTTTATGAAAAAATATTAGTTAGTATATAAATAATATAAATAATGCATCATTCACATGGACAATAAAATGAATATTAACTTACTCAGCTAATACAAGCATTAACATTCAATTTGTTTACATGTTTAGCGTTTTATACCGAAATACAGTATCCGTATTGTATATTCATACTATTTTGTTCGAGGTGTCCCGAAAAGGAACGTAAGTATGTGAGGGTAGCAAACTTTCTTCTTAAATTTAAGGTTTTTGAAAAATGTGCATGTATCATAAAACATAGTATGATAAATTATTGTAAATTAATTTCAATCCAATAATGTAAATATTATCCTTTAACAATATTTTCAGTGCCGATCAATTGAAAAATAAGGCTTTAAGCGACATCAACATCGTAGTCTCTTTCGACGGTTTTATATTCTATACTCCACCTGTGACGCTGAAATCCTATTGCAATGTAGAAGATACTGATTTAAGTACTTACAGCGAGGTGAAATGCACTTTGAAGTTCATGTCATGGACATATGACGGTCTTACCCTCAATCTTGAGCCAGGTAGCGAAGAGAACATTCTTGCAGACTTTGACGACAATTTTAACCACAAATGGAGTCTTATATCAGCATCAGTGAAAAGAAACGAACGCTTTTACAAGTGTTGCCCAGATACATCATACATAGATATTGAATATAATTTAGTATTAAAGAGGCGTTAGATATTATAAATATTTTTAACATGGCTATTTTTATTCAAATATTTGTAATATTTATCCTTTTTTTCAACTGTGTGTACAAAATAAAATGCATCTTATATAATATCCTTCGTTTAAAATTAAAAGGAGATTATTTTCCTTTCTGTCGTATCTAGTTTCGGCCAGGTGGCGTAGTAACGCACGAAGGTTTCGTGCGTATTCGATTACTGTAATTGGTTATAATTCAGCCTATCACTACGATGGGTGCAGTTGAGTTTAATTACGTCAGTCAATATATATAAATGGCAAATGTAAGTATTATTTACATGGTGCACCGCTGGATTTCTTTAAATTTGCAACTTTCTGACAAAATATTGGACGTGAATGATTTATATGATGTCAGCCTTAGCCCGTCTCTATAATTTTGTCGCTGAGGGTTGAGGACACTTACCTAAGTTACCTCTAAACAATGTAATAAGAGGTGCGAAACTTAAAGGTTTACCTTTAATGTTCCTCACTGCACGTGTTCAAATGAAAATCATCCATTTGTGATTTATATATCATAGTTCAAAATAAACAAAATATTTGGGTTTGTCTATATTATCTCCATGGAATATTAAACATGACGATCCGCCATAAAAGGCGGTTAACGTAGATTGTGTGAGGAAATGTTGACCTAGATCTCGCTTAGAATTTTGCTAATGCCCCCTCATCCTTATGAGGCGTGGCTACTACATTTAGTATGCACATAAACTCTTCAAATTAGTGTTCGCCTTAATAAATACATTTTTTGTAAGTGACACAATTTGCCTGTTTATACGATTAAGAAGGTTTAAAAAAAATGTTCGTGAAGTTAGCAGCCTAGCAGCCTGAAGTTGGCAGCCTAGCAGCCTAAAGAAAACTAAGAATAGTACAAACATGAAAACCGCCGGAAATACATTAGAATCATTCCACGACTTTTTCAATATCGTGATCTTTATTTTTTAAGATGTTGAACTTTATCGTAACATAATTTTTTTATTCTGACGCTTCGAAATTTGTGAAGCTAGCAGCCTAGCAGGATAGTACAAACATGAAAACCATCGGAAATGAATCGGTAGCAAATACTTAGACCATTCCACGTCTTATTTCAGTATCGCGTACTTAACTTTTTTAAAATAATTAACTTTTTTTTTGTGACACTTCGAAATTTGTGAAGTTAGCAGCCTAGCAGCCTGGCAGCCTAGCTGCCTAAAGCAAACTAAGGATAATACAAACATGGAAACCGTCGGAAATGAATCGGTAGCACATACTTAGACTATTCCACGTCTTTTTTTAGTATCGCGAACTTTATTTTTTTATACATTGAACTTTGTTTTTTTTATTTGTGACACTTCGAAATTTGTGAAGTTAGCAGCCTAGCAGCCTAGCAGCCTAAAGAAAACAAAGGATAATACAAACATGAAAACCGTCGGAAATGAGTTGGTAGCACATTCTTAGACTATTCCACGTCTCTTTTCAGTATCGCGAACTTTGTTTTTTTTTTAAATATTTAACTTTTTTTTTCTTATTGTCCATAGACAGCGACAATATTAGCCGAGAAAATGTTCTAAGAGACTAAGACTACTTCCTACGTTATTCGAAAACATGTTTAATCCCGCAAATTTCGAAGCGTCAGAATGAAAAATAAAATAAAGTTCAATATTTAAAAAAATAAAGATCGCGATACTGAAATAAAACGTGGAATGGTCTAAGTATGTTTATTTATGTTGTAAATAAGGTTGTTACCACACTTAAGTGAAATTTTATACATGTATATGTATATAATTATGCTTCTAAAACAATTTTCAAACATCGAAGAATATGTAAAATATGTACTGCAAGGATTTGTCCACATTATAATATTATGCAATCATTAAAATATATGCATTCATTTCTCTTTTTTTCTTTTTTTTTCATTCATTTCTTATTGAAAAAAGTTGACTTTATAGAAAAAAATTCTTATTACCTCCCTTTATAACATGAACGGTAAATTCGGTAATATCTTTTCAAATAATGCTTTTTGGAACTTACAATATTGATAAATCTTTATTTGAGCTACATGTATATAGTTATGATATAAAACCATAAAAATTGAGTTACAGGATCTTTGAAGGTATACCAATCACGGGGGAGAATCACGCCGTAAGATGGCGGATGTAGTCGAAAAGTAAGTTTTTCCCTTTCTCTCTGAAATTTCTGATGTTCTTGTGTAAAGGTACATATAATAACCTTCTCCACAATTTTCCGGGCACACGTGCTTTCATTTCATGATGTTTTGTCCGGTACTTCGTCTGAAATGCGCGTCGAGAGAATTTTCCTCCTGTTTGATCATGGTAACGTACGGCTTTTCTCTAAAATTCACTGTTTCGATTACAAATACAATGTATGTATATTTACTGAAACCACTGACTTTAAAAAGTTGTCACATGTCGTCATCTAAGCATTCATGCCCATTCTGGCTAGAATAATCGCTGTAAATATTAATATCGGGATGATAACGTATGGCGCACAAAATATCAATGATAATTACGCGCATTTTTCTGCTTAATGGATTATCTATATATCAATTACTTTTGAATAGAAAAGTTATGTTTATCGCTCTGGGTCTCTCCAAACATAAGAGGATGTGTAGAACCAAATAAAGAAACTGAATATTATTTAGTGTTCGCATAATAATATCTGTCATGTCATGTGTTTTCGTATCAGATCCGAGGGCGGTAACTTCCAGCACTTATGCAGGTGCCCAAGGCATAGATATTTATGGATATTTAAATCCGATACGTAATAACGAGTGATATGTTTTCTTGCATATCATACTCGAAGATAGAGCAGCTATCCAACCTTTGTTGGTTTGAACATTATTTTAGAATAAGTGTCGCCAAAAGTTAAACTTGATCCCAAGTTTCAAATATCTATATAAAATTAGGGTCCAACTTTATTTGACGCTGTATTTCTGCAAAATTATGTGTGTTAATTTTCATAGAAGAACAAAAGTCGATACTTTATCAAATTCCGTTCATAGTCGTCTTCTATTTTTCGGAACCGCGTTTGTAAAAATAGTCATTTGCATAGACCAATAGACCTTTTTACGACGCGGTCCGTTGCTATTAAAAAAAGACCGGAAGTAGTATTTTTTCGCGCATGCGTAATCTGCGTAGGGCAAAAAAGCGTTGCCCTACATCGAAAATAGTAGAAGTTCATAGATAATTCCGAATTAGTTTAAGGTAAAAATTAGGAAATCATATAAAATAGCTTTTTACACAAACATGAAAGATACATTTATAGCTTTGTGGCCAAAATTGCCACAAAAAGGCAGGGAAAAGACGATTGTTTAAGAATTCCCCCTTACGATCACGGACATGACAATTAATGAGATTATTGTTGTAAAAAAATGTCGAAATATATACATTATCAAATAAAGAAGTCAATTTAATTGTTGTTGAAATTGTTCTTATAAAAACTAAAGAAATTTTATAATATATAAAATAGAGGTTTATTATTATTCTGAAAATAAGTCGGAACACGTGATAATTAATGCATTTTTAGTTTTTAGCTTACCTGATATTATCCTTTATCCGACTACCGCTAACTTTGTATATCTGTTATAAATATCAATTCACGTTTGAAGTACTTACCGGTTTAATTCATCACAAAAATTCTGTATTCTTGGTGACATAACTTATAATCACGTCTTTAATGGCCTTCAAGTACGCTAAATGTAGTCTATCGTTATTGCGCTTTTGCCCTACGCAGAATGCGGTTGCTATGGAAAAATCGTATTGTAAAAAGGTCTATACTATTTTCATATTAGCTTAGTAATTTTTTACAACCGTATCTTTCATAAAGATATTGACGTCATCTGAGCGCATGAGCTGTCTGGCATTATAGGGTTAACGCACGTTTTTTCGTGTTATAACGTCTGCAGAGTCCCGAGGAACGGATGGTGTCCGAGCCGGTAGGGCGAGGGCTCCAACAGTTCCGAGGGACTCTGCAGACTTTATAACACGAAATAAAGTGCGTTGACGTTATTAAAGCATAAAATTTTAAAACAGATTCATGATGTATATTTAATACAAAATACATTAAATCCTTGTGCTTGGACGGTATTTATCCAATTCTACATGGTTTACGTATGCGTTTTATTTTTCCGGGGCCAACTACTTGGGAAATTCAAATGTTAAGAACCGTTCGAAAATTCGAATTTTAATTGATTTAACAAAGCTTAACATTGGAGATTTATTAACTCAAGAAAAAACACATTACATTACTCTGCCCAAAACAAAACATGACCATCAGAAATTCCTAGAATGATTTCAGATTGACGGTAGAAAAAAAAGATCAGTGACGTCATCAGAATGGTTTTTTTTTTCAAGCTCACAATTTTATAAAAGAATATCAGGCACTAAACATTATTCTTTCAAAGAAATTTAAAGAGCATTTATCAATATAAACATCAATAAAACAACTATGGCATGTTAAACGTTTGCAATATTCAATAAATTAATTTTTGTTGTATATCCAATATTTATATTGTTTAAATTGTATAGAATTTTATATTCTATACCATAATATTTATTCAATCCTGCTGGATATTTGTTCATCATAAAAAATATTTGTGTGCAATAATTATTATATGTATGTTCTATATTTGAAAATATATATTGTATAATTAAAATATTTATTGTATAGATCTAATGAAAAATGTTTATTCGAAAATTTGAATCATGGGATAGAACACTTAGCATACTAAGCCCCGCCTATAAAGTAAGCACGAATGTCTGATAAAGTATTATCATCCTACGGAATTCCATAAACGACAGCCTACTGCTCACTGCCTACTGCTAACTGGACAGCCTGCTGCTCACTGTCTACTGCTAACTGCTTATTGACAGTCTAAGCCTATGTATGGACCAAATAGAAGTATTCCGAATGTACACACATGTTCCACCATTGCACACTGCATTGATTATGTTATGAAATGGTTCCATGTGCCTCTTGCACATGTGTTTGATAAATTGTCAAATATAGGACTCATTTTAGGGTAAATCAGCTTAATGATAATTATTCACAAAGAATCTGTGTTCAACAATCAACATGGATGGACT